GTGACCCGTGTCCGCTGGTAATGATGTCATTGGAACTTTACCAGACAAAAACTTCGCAAGGAAATAATGGTGCTTTTCTTTAGATTGGCCTGAGAAAGGCCAGCTCTCATCTGGCGTCGTAGTGCGCCAGACGTTGACTCACTGTGTGTCGAGCCCGGCTTTGCACTGAGTCGGATGTAGGAATGAATCAAGCAAGGCGAACAGGACAGGCAAAGACAGGGATGAGAGGCTTGCGAGAGTATCCACCGCCACCTCACCAGAGTTACACTTTCAGTAGGTTTTCTGTAACGGGATAGTAGGTAAGCCGGGCCAAGCCGAACTGGAAAAGCAAAACAACAGGCTTATTTGAGAAAGCAACTGCCAGGTAAGTCCTTCAGCCCCAGACATCGGGGCCGGAGAGGTCACGCGTGGAGGGTGAAAGGTCCAGCCAAAGAAACACACCCTGGCCCTGAAACCAGAACCAAAGAAACACTCTGCCTCTGACTGGCCGAGTACAAAAACCAACCAATCCCTGAGCAGGAAAACCAACCAATCACTGATCTTATCCAAACTCAGGGATTCAAATCCGACCAATGCCCACCCTGATAATCTCCACCCCAGGGCCTGTTCAGTTCTTGGTTGCCTTTTCCCGCCCTGGCGGAGGCAGCCACCCTTCTAGATTCTTTCCTACCAATAAATCTCTTGAATGAGGTTTGGGTGAGATCTTCTTCCGCTGGAATGGAGCGGAGGAGACAACAACTTTTCAACAAAGCGGAGCAGAACTGTAAGACTTTCTCCGGGAAAACCTTCCCTAGTGAAGCAGAACTGTACAGCTTGGCTGGGGAAGCCTGCTCCTGTCAGAGCAGAGCTGTGTCATTGGGAAACCTTTCCCTGGAGCAGGGTCCTGAGCTGCTGCGCTTACAATGACTTTGTGGTACCCCTTGGCTCCCTACTGTCTGAGCTGCAATGCTTATAAGGCAGCCGAGCTAAGGCAGGCAGCTTATATACCCTGTAGGCGAGGGTCGATGACACGCCCTCCACAAGCTGGGTTTGTGTCCCAAGTATGGTCAAAAGCTGACAACTTTAGGTGGGGTCTTGGGCAGCTGGCAACTCCAGGGGAGGAGCTGCCTCAGCTGCCAAGAATGCGGAACTGGGCTTTTTGGCAGCTTTTCTCTGTTGGAGATTCTTTGAGAGGGCGGGGCTTGGGGAGAGAGGAAAGGGGCTTTCCAGATCAAGCAGGAGTTAGCTGGAGATTCCAGTGAAAGATTGTGTGAAAGTTCAAGTAATACAGAGCATTGAATTCTCCCGGCTCCTCTTCTGCAGATAAAGTGCTCTTTATTCCAGACCCGCTATCAATTAAACACTGCCTGCCTGAGCCCAGAAGAGGCCATCAGAGGCCCTGGAACTGGGTCACAGGTGATTTGCCAGCTGCCATGTGGGGATTGGGAACTAAAACCAGTCCTCTGGAAAAGCAGCCAGGGCTCTTAACCACTGATCCACCTCGCCATTCATGGGTTCTATTCATTTTAAGAATGTGGTATTCTTGCCCCTAGTGAAGAATTGGTTGGCTCTGGCTGGATCTTGTCCCCATCCTAATCCTATCTTCTACTTGGAGGAGCTATGAAAGGAGCATCCACTCATTCCGGAAAGGCCACTGATGACAAAGCCAAGTCGAAGAGATTGAAAGGGGCTGGATTGGGATCAACAGAGAAGCACTGGAGAAATGGTTCTGGAGCCAAGAGCACTGGCTACCCTTGAGGAAGACTTAGGTTCAGTTCTTAGTCCCCACATGGCAGCTCACAACTATAATTCCAGTTGTGGGAGATCCAACACACTTCTCTTGTCTTCTGAGATACCAGATGTTCACAGGTTCTAAATGTATGCATGTATACCTGCAGGCAAACATTCATACATGTAAATAAAAATGCATGTTTTAAAATTACAAAAATAAAAGATTAAATAGGACAGGATATTATAGGCAGAGAATGACTGGATACCTTCCTGGGCGGGGCTTCATGCAACGGAACATTGGGAGGTAGAGGCAGGTGCTTTGTGACTGTGCTATAAAGAGCCATGGGTCTCCTGGCCCAAACTGTTTTCTTTCTCTCAATAGTTGGCTTAGTTGAGGTTTTTATTTTAGTGTTGTGAAGAGACACCATGACCACAGCAACTCTTATGAAGGAAAACATTTAATTGGGGCTGGCTTACAGTTCAAAGTTTCAGTCCATTGTCGTCATGGCGGGAAGCACGTTGGCACACAGGAAGACCTGACGCATGAGAAGTAGCTGAGAGTTCCACATCAGAACCGGCAGGCAGCAGGAAGAGGGAGACACTGGACCTGGTTTGACCATCTGAGACATCAAAGCCCACTACCAGTGACACACTTCCTCCAACAAGGCCACACCTCCTAATAGAGCCACTCCCTAATGGCCTATGGGGGCCATGTTCATTCAAACCATCATAGTATTCCACTCCTATTCTTGGGAGTGCTTTCCTTTCTTAATAAACTGAATCTCAGAACCTTATCACACTTTCTTTCAAGCTCTGTCCCCTTCTGTCTGCCTGCCATGCAACTCCATTGATAGATACGCCTATTGGTATCCTGGCATTGTGCTGACCCCGCCCATTGACAACTGGCAGGGTCTGCATGCCCACATTCAGGCAGATGCTTTGACAGCTCAAATGTCCCTGTGTTGCGTGGCTACTTCGTGTGTTACATGGCTGTGTAGGGAATCTGTGTGTGTGTGCAGGCTTTCCCTTTCAAGCGAGTGCCTGGAGCCTGTTTTTGTCCTTCTACTCTTCCTTCCCCATCCCCCTTCCATCTCTGCTCCTGGTTGGTCAACACCTACCCCTTCCTTTCTGCTCCCTTTCTGCAATAAACTCCATGTGGGTCTTGTGAGTTTTGTGGTTTGTGTTTCATCACCTGCAGCTGCAGCAAACAACAATGCCTCCTTTAAAGACAACTCAGGAAAGCCACTGGGCCAGGAAGATGGCTCAGTAGGTAAAGGCACTTGCCACCAAACCCGATGACTTAAGTTGTAGCCTAGGCCCCACGTGGTGGAAGGAAAGAACTGACTTGTGGGGGTTTGAATGAGAGTAGTCCCCTTAGTTTCATATGTTTGAATGCTTGGTTTCCAGTTGGTGGAACTGTTTGGGAAGGATTAGGAGGTGTGGCCTTGTTGGAGGAGGTGTGTCATTGGGTGGGGATGGGCTGTGAGGTTTCAAAAGTTCACACTACTTCCTACTTAGCTCTATTTACTGCCTCGTGTTTGTGCCCTGCCTGCCTGTCTGTTGTCAGGCTCCCTGACATGATGACCATGAATTTATGGGGCCTCTCCAGATAGGATGGCCAGCAGAGTGTCACTCAACATGATACAAGAAAGAAGTCCCTGTCAACCTGACTAGACACCAGGCAATTTATCTCAGACCATATCAACATAGCACAGTTTGGGGGAAAAGTTTCCTGGTGATAATGAACTCAATCCCATGTGTCTAATAAAGTTTAAGGCATGACCTCATCAAAACTCCTTGTAAGGCACATATGACCTCCTCCATAAAGATGGGTTCAGTTGACAGAGAAACAATGCAGAGATAAGAGTCTAGGGAGGGCCGGGCAGTGGTGATGCACGCCTTTGATCCCAGCACTCGGGAGGCAGAGGCAGAGGGATCTCTGTGAGTTCAAGACCAGTCTGGTCTCCAGAGTGAGTGCCAGGACAGCCATGGCTATAGAGAAACCCTGTCTTGGAAAAACAAAACAAAAACAAAAGAGTGAGAGAATAAAAAAATCAGTAGAACTACAGAAGTTAAAAAGCAAGGTTAGTACATTTAGGGACTGTTAGACACCAGATGCCCTCCCAGCCAGCCTTCAACAACTCAGCACCAGCAGCCACTCCATCACCAGCCACGCCGTCACCAGTTGCAAATATGACAAGTGTACCCTTTAAAAGGTCCCTACCACTGGGTGGTGGTGGTGCGCTGATGGGGAAGGTCCTTCTGTGTATGTTTGTCTTATTGGTTGATAAATAAAGCACTGTTTGGCCAATGAGGCAGCAAGTTAGGCGGGAGTAGGAGTCGAGGAGGATTATGGGAAATGTAGTAAAAAGGAGTCTTGTGGTCCAGGCAGGAAGTGACGTAGCAGGCAAATTCATATATAAGCAGGGACAAACAGGAAGTTCCCCTCCACTCTTCCTCCCCTCTCTCTGTGGAGTCGCCATGTAACCACCAGGAAGACAGGATGCAAGGCCTATATCCTCCATAAGATAAGTCTTATGATTATGGTTGATAATTAAGACTGAGCTAGCAGATGAGAAATCCAAGTCATTAGCCAAGCAGCATTTTTACCTAATAGAAGTCTCTGTGTGTTACTTGGGACCTTAACTTGGCGGAGGGCAGAACTCTCTCGGCCTGGCGGGAAGTGCCCACATGGCTGCAGGGCTCAGGTGACTTGGGGGGGGAGACTTATCACAACAGTGCATGCCTTTAATCCCAGCACTGGGGATACAGAAACAGGCCGATCTCTGTGAGTTCAAGGCCAGCCTGGTCTACAATGCCAGTTCCAGGACAATTAGGGCTGTAACACAGAGAAAACCTGTCTTGAAAAACCCAAAGAAAACAAAACAAAGTCCCTGTTGTCACAGACCACTCTCTTGCTCTCTCACCCTGCTGTCTGTCTCTGTCTCTCTCTGGCCCCCACTCTGAGATGGCCTCCTGCTCCCAATAAATCCCTTGCTTGAGATCTTTGTGTGGTGTTGTTTCTGCACCATCCCTTAGCCCAGACGCACCAAGTTACTCTGTCACATGAACCCTAACAGGGACTTCCCTTGATCCTGGAACTGTGAACTGGGTCTTTGTTCCCGTTTTGGCAGGTGTTGGGACTTATGTGCTGGGTCTGATGGTACCTCCAACATGTCATCAGTTTGCTATAAGTGTTGCAGTTCTGAAGAAAAAAGGCTTCCCCAACAGATGTGTTACAGCTCTGCTTCAGGGGACAGTTTCCCCAGTGCAAGTGTTAGACTCTGAAGGGGAAAGTAATCTGGCAGTCGGGAGCCAAGAAACACAAAATCATACCACACAGCCACCCTTCCCAAAGAGATTTATTGGGAGGGGAAAAAATAGGAGGGTGTCTGCCTCTGCTCGGGCAAGAAGCAGCAGAGAAGTGAGCACAAGACAGGGTTTATGTAGGATTGGGGGTGTGTGCTTTCCAGGGTGACCTGGGGTTGGTGGGATTTTTGTGGCCTGATCTTAGAACTGAGAGGCCAGAACTGCTGTTCCCTGCTTAGTACAAAGGATGGTTGGAGGAGCCTGACTCCTTGACCTGTGTATGTCTAAACCCGGAAAAGGAATTCACCCCCAGGCTATGACAGTATCCAAATGCCAGCTTTGTTCTTGGAAAAGCAGATGATTGACTGCCTGATGGCCAGCACACCTGGCCAGGAGATGAGACAGGGCTATAGAAATTCCCCAATCCCTTCCCAAGAGCAATGACTTACTTGGTAGTTTTTCCCTTTATAACCCTACAACTGAGGCACAGGGCCTTCTCCCACACTGTCACACCAGCTTGCTGGATGAGGTCCCTGCCGAGGGAGGCTTGTATTCAATAAAAAAACAAAAAACAAAAAAACTGTGCGATTGGATCCATGAGTCAGCTCCTTGGTGTGAAGGGACCAGACCCTCACCCAGCCCCCTGCTTTAGCAGCCAATACAGGCTGCAGAAAAGACCCAGCAAGGTGTAGGCCTCTGACTCAGCACCTGTGCTGAACCCCCCCTTCCCTCCCATTTCAGGACCTTCCAATCACTAGGAACCCAGATACCCTTCATGTAGCAATGGACCAACCAGAAGTTAGCTCTGAAATGGGGATTGTAGCAACTGCCCAGGGATGGCCTTTAGGCATAGCAACCATTTCTGCAGTTGCAGCTGGCCAATCAACACGGGACAGGTTGCCCAAACTCGGAGGTGCACCAATCCTGAGACTGTTGCTATGCAACTAGCAGACCTCCAGACACTCCCCTTGACCTAGCCCAATAAATTCCCTGCCCCACTGCTGCTCAAGGTCCTTCTTGCTCCACCAGCTGTGTTGGATGGAGAGAGGACAGAGTTAATACAGTTATCTCATTAATTAATTAATCAAAGACTCTGCTTTTGCATCGGATCAGGTGTCTTGGTGATTTGGGGGTTTGGAGTTTGGGCACAGGCGGTCTTTTGGGGGGGTCTTGTGGACTGGGCATAATGACAGCAAGCTTAGGGATTAGTGGGATTCTGTGCTCAGCCTCTGTGGCAAGCTCAGGATGGGAGTGGTGGGATTTCATGCTCAGGGATTTGTGGGATTGTTTCTTGGCCCTGGTCTTGGTATTAGGAATATGGACTAGCAGGAACCTTGGCGGATCCCACAGCAGGTGAGAGATGGTAGTGGGTGACAGACGGCGGGCAGATGAGAAAGAGACCTGCAGACATAACCTACACAGAAAGTTTTCTTGGGGTTGGTAAGAGAGTAAGGGAAGCAAAGAGAGAAGAGGTACAGAGACAGTGGCAGAGACAGAGGGGACAGACGGAGCTGCCTCCTCAGAGAGAGGGCACAAGAATGAGAGTGGGGAGAGTTTGCCTCTTCAAGGACCAGGGCAGCCTGCTGGCCCAGAGGGATGGCAAGGTCACAAGGGGTGGGGCCAGATCTGTCTGGGTTACAGTGTTCCTCTCTTTCTTATTAAAAGGTGAGAGGTAAGAGACAGAGTCAGAGTTTATGGCACAGATTAATCACAGGAGTTACAGACAAAGAGAGGCACGATGGAGAAGACTGATACATACCAAGTGTGGGTACGGGCTTCTCAATCGAGAGTCACATTTACAAGTTTTGTTGTGCCCAAATTCTGAACACCAAAATCACCAAGAGGTCCATTTCGATGCAAAAGCAAAGAGTCACTTATTGCAGTTGTATAATGAGCTAACCCCATTAGCTGGGGCCTTTCATTCATCCACCATGGCAGATGGCTGGGGAAAGACCCTGAGAAACCAAGAGACAGGGTATTGGGACTAAAACACCAGGCTGACCCCGCCCCCTGACAATGGGTGGGGCACGTGTTATTCTTTTGCTTAAATTAGAAATTTAAGAGAGATGGACATGGAACACGAACTATAGAGCGCACATTAACAGGTTTATTATAGGGTGGGACAGGGAGAGAAATGAAAGAAGAGAGAGTAAGAGAGAAGAGAGAGGTTTAAATGGGGGATCTCACGAATTCCCACTGAGTCCCTATACAGCCCCACAATGAGTGATGTAGCCATGACGTGGCCATGCCACACAGGGCCCTTAAGCTGCCTAGGTATCAGCCTGAACCTTTCACTCCCACCTTTACTTATTATTAAAAAGGTGGGGTGTTAGACGTGGCAGGTTAGGAAATAAGGACGTTGAGTTCTCATAACTACTTCCTGCTGAGATGGGGGGTGTTGACCATCTTTGGGGAACCTGAGAAAGCTGGGGTGCTGCCACGTCCTGGGGTAGCTGGTTGTTTCAGCGCGGTCCAGGCTGTATGGAACTCTGGCACCTCTTAGACCTGGCAAGATGTTAGAAGAGCAGAGGACAAGGTTAAGTTTAGGAAAAATGTTTTCTTAGGTCCTGATACTTAAGGGGAGGATTGTAAGATGAAGGAGGGGTTCCTGAGGAGTCCCAAGATGAGGGACGGGAATCTGGGACCAGGGAAAGGTTGAATAATATTTATTTGGAGTGAATCTGACCTGTTTGAATCTAATTCAGCTCCATGGAACTTACAAAAATCCTTAAGAGTTTGTGGAAACATAAATTTTAGACTCATTAGCAGCATATTCTTGTTAGAAGCAACTTGGCTGAAAGCATTAACATTTTTAAATTGACATATTTTTTAGGACAATGAAAAGCATCTTAATCTTGA